GCGAGATAAAAATTAAAAAATGGATAAAGAAGCCTAGATCAAAATAAACCGACCGAATGATCTAACTATGGATTGTCCAGAGCGCGATCGTGTGTACACGATTTGTGTATACACAGGATGAGTCAATAATTATTACTACCTTGAATATTTTTAAAGCAAGAAACGAATTATGGGTCCCAGTTTCGGATCAAATTTGCTTCGTCAATATCATTTGTTAATGTTGTCAAAGAAATACGCATTATAATTGAGACATGGGCACAATTTTTTGAAATTCTTTAGTTACTTTACAATTGTATCTTAAGCTTACATTTTACGAAAATATCTAGATATATTTGGTTCTAGTATTATTTGGTTTATCGATTGTTCAGATTTAAAACTGTTTATATGTTGCATACATTATTATCCTACATAGACCAAAAAAACATAAAGGATGGATATTATTAATATAAAATTATATATCATGTAACCAGTTATAGAGGGATGCGAAATATTCGCTGACCCAGAATTGGGAGTTACGCACGAACGTTTGTAATTATTTTTTTTGTAAATTTAGAATTAATTAATTTGATATCCAATAATTTTACTTTGTGGCTAAACGATGTTTATTATTTATAACGATATTAACAGCTTTATTTTAATCATGTTTAATCGACAAATTTATATAAATGAATGAAAGTAACTGTGAGTAACCTATGATAAAGTTATCTATGATTTTCTATGAGTAAGTTATCTATGATTAAGACTGTTACCCCAAGTAAGAATCGTATACGTTTCGCCAGTACAGAAAAATGGCCCAATACTGAAAAGCAAATGTCCGGTTTTGGTACTGGGTTTAATATGAAAAAGCTGTATTATTGGTACTGGCTCCGTACTAAGGTTAGGTATTGGATAGTCGTACCGTACTTATATTGGGGCGTTACTGAAAAGTATTTGTTGTTTTCGGTACTGGCCCAGTATTTAAAAAGCAGTATTATTGGTACTGACTCTGTTCATAAAATCAGTACTGGATAAAAGTAAAAATCGTAAACAATCTGCCAATAAAGGATATTGGGCCAGTATTGTGCCGATACCGAAAAACGGACGATACCAATGTCCTTTATGGGAAAACGGAAGAGGTCACTAACGCGAAACCTAAATAGCTCATTGATAAGAACGCTTGCCTGACAAGCTGAAGATTCGAGTTCGATTTCGCCCCGAAGATTTTTTCCTCATATGACTAAAAATAGACCTGTATAAGTACGAGAGCAGTCCCCCCTTAGGCCATGATCTGATCTTTCCTTCCATACTATATAGTTGTGATATTATTAACAATTGTACAAATAATAAAAATTACTAAGAATCGATACTGATCCAGTACTGGAAATAGGTACTTCCCCAGTGCTAGGAATCAATACTTTTTTTATTCTGGTACAGTACTGATTTGCAGTATTGTGACAGTACTGTTTTCCGATACTGGCCCTTTTCTATCATCCCAGTATCATATCAATACTAAGCCCAATACTGATATCTGGTACTATGCCAGTAACGTTTATCATAAATCGGTACTGGACCACTTTGATACCAGTAATAAATTCCTATTTGGGATCTTATTCTCTACTTAGGAAAAAGCTTCTTAAGGTGCTTACACTTTTTTTCTGAAAGGAACAGCTTCGACGATCTCTAAGGTCACTTTTCTTTTGCTTCAAAGATATTCAAATAGTTAGTGACTTACCCCATATATATGTATAAGGCGCAAGTACAGAATGATATCTCTGGAATTCATTTATACCTCGGCCGAAGTACTACAAGAATGGCGCTGGCATTCGGAATTTTAGGAAGGATATCCCGCACGGAATGCGAACTTACCGCTCATATTTCTGGTCCGAGATAACTCTTAGATTCTCTTGGCCCCGAACATCCGCGTAATGTGCAAGATTGATGCCGCCAGATATACCGAAGGAAGCATATTTCGAGGAAGAGAGGTGAGCGCGAGGAAATAGGGAATCTGTCCGACGGAGAGAAAGAGAGAGAGAGAGGAGGGGGAGAGAGAGAGAGAGAGAGAAAGAGAAAGGTCGGTACTCCGCGGAGCTGTTCCGTTATCGAACAATTGAAAATTCCGACGTTTACGAGAGGTAGCCGTCGCGCCGTGATAATCGATCGACGTTCGACGGGCAGTCTCGCGCGCGCGGAAATTTCTCGTTAGATCGCTCGTCGTGTGTCTTTTTTCCTCCCTCCTTCGGAATATAATAAGAAGAGACTCGCAAGAGGGTGTAAGATTCACCCACGCTGTCCGGAGAGCAGTGACGAGTCCGTGAGGAAGAGAATTCACGGAAAGAATGAGGGAGAAAGAAAGGGAGAGAGAGAGATGAGTTGAGACACCGTTGAGACGACGCAAGACGGAAGACGAGACACGAGTCGACCCCCAGAGTGGAGTAATAAATGATCACGATGAATAATAACTTGGTTATTGAAAGAAAATTCCGGCCTGATATGAGCGCACAGAGTTTTCTCCAACTCGGGGCATTAGCCCAGTTCTCTCGAAATGAGGTGGCCACCCCCGCCACGGCCTCCTCGTTCTCCTTGTGCCCCCGCAGCGGATTCCACTCCCCGACCGCCCATTTCGCCTTGCTCTCTTTATCCCGCGAAGCCACGTCCGCATAATGGCTATTCAGATATCGAATCGATTTATTTCCCCGGGGGCTTTCGGAAACTTCGCCCGGCCCTGCGGTGAACTTGGAATGGCTATTTCTCTCGTCTCTTCCCTATCTCTCGTTTTCGCGCTGCACTTCGGGCTCCCCGAGACACACCGGGGCCGCTGTACCGTGAAATGTTCATTGGGTCACATTCGTTTCGAGCGCGCGCCCGGTAAATTTTTATCGTCGCCGTGCGACGCGTTTTGTGGCGCACGCCCCTAAATCGACTGTTACGGGAAAATAGCCGATGTAAGTTCGCACGGGGGACGAGCGCAATTTACGTCCACGCTCGGCGAATCGAACGTTTATTTACGCGCTTAAGCACCCCCTCCGGCGGTCGCGTGCACCTCTCTCTATCTTTAGTGCTTTGTCTGTGCGCGCGGAGGAGGGCGGACACATCTTTGTGTCTTAAACAATTTATTTCGAGAGACAGACGATTCCTCGGTCGGACAATCCCGTGCGCAATTGGACGGTACGTACGGTCGAATTAATTACACGGATAAACGGCCAAAATGGCCGGAGAGAGTTCGATTCATCAGGTAGATAATGGATGTGTGGGCGATTCTATCGGGTTAGGTCAATTATCAAAGAGATTTCGAAATAACGCGATCGCAGCGATAGCCTCTTCACAAACGTGATTAAAATCACATTCAATTAAGAAAGACCGGCGGAAGAAGGAGGAGAGCGGGAGGGAGAAAGTCGATAACCACTAATGAAAAGAGCAAGCTGAGCGAGATACGTCACATTATCATGAGAAAGTCATATTAACAGCGTAGATAAATTATTCGGACCGATATATATGTGCTGTAAGAAGCTATATATATAATATATAATATATATATATATATATATATATATATATATATATGTATGTATGTGTGTGTCTGTCCCTCTCTCCCTATCCACTCCCTTTCCCTCTCTTGATAGTTGCCGGGTTCCTTGCGCATATTAATCAAGCGCGCTCTCTCGAAATTTGACCGAGTTATGTTCGATCGACGGGGAGACGGAAGTTGGTAACGTTACCTCTCTTCCCAATTCACCTGTACACAAACTTGGCGCAGCGATACGAGGGCGGCACTAAGACGGACATTAAGTCTCCGCGCGGGGGAACTTACTTGAGAGAATAGTTTAAGTGCCTTTCTAGACGGAGCTCCTCGTCAAGGTGCTCGTCAAATAATTAATGTCCTCCACTCGAGCTCGCGACTGCGAGGTACCTCGGAGGTGCATATACAGTCGAATGCTCCGACGCGTTTGCTCCCGTTCGACGATATTACTCGCGGACGACTCGCAGAGGAGGTCGCTCGCGGCTCGGTAACCACGGGGAGATTTACAAACAAACGAGAAGACACACTTGTGTCATTCACAAGTGCCCCTCGTTCATCTCCGCAACTCGGAGAAAAAACGTGGTGATGACAGCTACACAGGTGACAACTGTACGAGTCCTGTATATGTAGGATCGTGGTGTATACAGAGTGTCTGACGCTAAGTGTTCCATACCTGCTGTACATGTCAGCTGGGTCAAACTGAACATTCTCTGCCATTTTGCAAACGCAACCACCGTAAAATTTTTAGTTATTAATTAGAGGAAATTGATGAATTATCACGCGCAATATGGATGAGTTATGACGGCAGGCGACGCCTGCCGTTCTGTAAATTCTGTAAATGTTAATTAGGTCCTCTACCATTTTGCAAATAACCACCCGGGTTTTTAGTTATTAATTAATAAAGAAACATTGTTTCTTTTTTTTAATTGATAATTAAAAAATCTACATGGTTGTCTGTAATATAATAAAATAATAGAGGAATTTTGTATTCAGTTTGGCCTAGTCTACATGTATACGAGACATGAGACACTTGGCGTCAAATATCTTATAGTATAGTTTAATGAACTATTTTGTAGTTATTGCAACTAAAGCTTTAATTGATTATGTACATTACAATTCTACATACTCTCTAAATTTCTTGAAAAGTGATGTTTTTCACTTGAAAAATGGAGTTATTATTGAATCACTCGAGTGACTTTCCCTCCATATAGAAAATATTCTTTGCCCTTAATCGTCGAGTGAATATTTCCACTCGAAATTAGAGAGTGAATCTGGACTTATATGGAGCCCGAATCCACTCTAAGCTTGAGCGAAACATTCACTCTTGCGATTTTCAGTGACAATATCGTCACTCAGTGAAAATGGAAGTTGCCGCTTTTCATTCGTATTGAGATTCGACTCCAAGAGATTTAGAGAGCACAAAGTTCGTCTGATCGCCTTTTTTCTGAGTACGAAAATGCGGCGAGAACGCGCATCGCTAGATCAGCGCGGGAACTTATCTGACCTTGTTCGGATATCCGTTGTATCTGAGCAGCTTCTTGCAACACTTGCCGCGGTTCTCGTAATAGAACATCTGCACCATCTCCGCGCGGTCGGTCGCGGCGCTCACGGTGAACGGCGCCGAGTTCCTAGACGACGACGGCGGTTGTTGCTGCTGCTGCTGCTGCTGCTGTTGCTGGGCCGGCGATTGCCGACGCCCCAGTGGCACGCACGGACACCACCCTGAGACCATCACACCGATCGGGCCCGCCGGCCCGACTCGCCACACCCGCGTCGAACTTCCCTTCGCTTCGTCCCGTCGTCTCGTCGACGATCACTTCCTCCCGCCGCAGAGGAGTCTCCTCATGGCGCCTGTCGACGGCCACCCTCGCGTGTAACACGCGAGCCCGCGAGATCGCCAGCGGATCGTGAGATCTCGTTGGAAACGTGCGCTGCTTCTCTTCCTCTGTCGCCGTCGCGAGATCGCTTCCTCAACGCATATCCGAGACGTTTACGAGGGAGACGATCCTGTGGCGGTGGCGACGTTTGTCGCGCGGCGCGAATTTGGCAAGGCTCCTCGTACTATCTCAACGGTACTTTCGGTACGTTGGCGCGTTATCCTCCCGCGCTGATCTGCAACAAGAAACATTTCGTCTTTTCCAACTGCACTTTCCTTCCGCGCTCTCTTTCTTTCTTTTTCTCTCTTTCTCTTTCTCCCCCAGCCCCTTGGGTCGTAGTTGACCAGAAATAATTCGCGAATCGCTATTCATGACCGACTAATTTAGTTTTTCCGTTAGAATAGTTCGACGCCCGTCGAGACTCTTCCTGCTCGCGTGCCGCGCGCTCTTTCTCCAATGTAACGAGCGAAATGCATTTCTTGCGAAATCCGGCGAGAATTAATTCCGAAGCGGGTCAATTAAATTCGAGCTCCCGCTGCCTCGCGAACGTTGGGACGAAACTCCCTAAAACGCGAGGGAGGTGGCGGCGACGGACGTCAAGAAAAGAGCGTATCTCCTGCCAGGACGTTTGCGCGAGGGCCGTAGTTTTCGTTCCGCCGAATGCCATCCGCGCGCGCTCTCCGACTTTCCGCAAGAGGTGTCTGATTAAATCCGCGCGCGCGCTTCGTCGCTCCAAATTCCGGCCGGATCCAACGCCGTTTGCGAAAAGAGCGCGTGTTCCTCGTAAATCAACGGCGGCGTTCGAGATTTGCCGTTCGATCTCGACTTAAATTAACGAGCGGCGCAAAAAGCGCAGCGGGATTGATAAATCGGCGGACACACGACGGGACAGGCACGCGCAGATGGATGAATTCTCCATCCCGGCGATAAAAAGCCCCAAGGAGACCCGGAGAGATAAACAGATATAATTTATTTAGATCCCAGCGCGCTCAGATTCGAGATACGGTCCTCCCTGCCGGAAGAAACCGGGATAGCAGGAGAGTGAGGAGAGAGGGTGGGAGAGAGACGACGATAGTTTATCAAGATCGACCACGCGAACGGTGCAATTACACCGAGTGATTGCGCTGGAAATTGAAGAGCGTTACGCGAATCATCGATTACTTCGCGGAGACGGATCGACGAAGGCTACCGTCGCGTCGTGGTGGGCGGATGTGCGTGGCGCGCTCTTTATTTCTCGATAAAACAAGACAAACCGGCTAAAGCCGGCGCGGAGCGGCGTCGGCGGCCCGTAAAGATGAGAAAAACAACGCAGGAATTTGCAATTCATGAGAAACGTCGTCGTCGTCGGCCGTGCGTTAGTCACAGAACGCGCGACCTAATTTAAGAATGGAAAATTTGCGGCGTGCCCGCCGCCACCGCGGCGGGTAATAAACGCGCCGTAGCACTGTGCAAACATCATTCGACTTACGGAAAATAACGAGAAGGGCTTTTCCGCCACCTTCCATTTCCGCCGCGAGATAACATCGACGCCAATTTCGCTTGGGCGAGTTCTCACTCTCTTCGTCTTAACGAAACCTCGCCCTCGAAATTTCGCCCTCGATGTGTGTTACGCTCGTTTTTCGCTCGAAACTGATAAAATCGTGGAAACGGGCACGCTGATGTCACACTCGTCGGCGCGGATTTCGTGCCGGCGGTAGAATTTGCAGACGAGAAAAATAGTAATAATAACTTTATTAGCGCAACGGGAGAGAGAGATAGAGATAGATAGAGAAAGAGAGAGAGAGAGGAAATGAGGGAAGTAATATTACAAAGTACGCAAAGAAGAAGAAGGAAAAAGAAAATGCCAAAAAGCGACGACGATGAAGCTACTAAATTACCTCACTTGAGTACGCCTTACTAAAGAAGAAAGCCAATAACAGTACAAAAATTAAGTTTCAAAGACATTGAGAAAAATGTAATTTTTCGCAGCACACAGAGCGAAAGGAATTGAGCGAGGATGCAGTCCGTATAAATGGAGGTAAGGCGTTGCAATGTTTCACCGCAGCGAAAGAGAAGGCTGCGCGAAATATAAGTGATATATTTATCCGAGTCGTGCTGTGTAACACGCACTCGCGTTAACCCAGGAAATTAATGAAGACCTGATTTATACACATACACACACACACCCATATATATATATATATATATATATATATATATATATATATATATATATACACATATATTTCTACTAACTGTGTCGTGTCAGACGAAAGGGCGAAGACGCCCTTTTCGCGTTTCTCCAGACAAAGCCGATCGCGTTTCCCGAGGCGGCGGGTTTCCGCAGTTTCCTCGTTTCGAATCTAATTCCTGTCTGACCTCCTCGTAATACGAGGTCGCGCGAGGTGCCGAGAGGACGCGCGATAAGTTTGCTTTACGGTCGCGCCAGATGACGACGCGAGCCCCGTTTAATAAAGCGAAGGGGCCGAGTAGCTGCCGGAGAATGCTCTCCACGGACTTTCTCTCTCTTTCTCTCTCGTTCTCTCTTGCTGCCTCGCACGGGGGTCATCCGGTACACGTCGTGACGGGGAAGTCGGTCAAATGTGCGCGGACTGACCGTCACGAATAAGCTGGACCTTAAACGCGGAAGCGGGAATTTCCGGTCGCGTTGCTGTGTCGATTAATATTAGTCACGATTAATTTCATCGATCTTTTTCTCCTATATTTACACATTGAAAAAAAAGTGGAGATGATTGAATGTAAATGTAAAATTAATGAACATAAATTGCAACTACACCTTCGACGTGTTCGACTTGGCGAGCATTGAAGGAACAAAACGAGAGAATAGAGTAGAGGAGAGAAGAAAGAGAGAGAGAGGGGGGGGAGAAGAAAAGCGGGTAAGAGAAGGATTAGCGATTGATGGATTTTTCGATTTTGCGGCGGCGTTGAATTGTTAATCAGTATCGGTGGGAGGTGTGTGTGAGAAATTCCAGGTGATGAACATTTTACGAGCTCCGGTAAATGAAGTAGAAGGGAACTTCAATATTCATGGAAATCTGCGGGGTTGGTTTCGCCTCGTAAGATAAAGAAAAAAAGTGAATCTGTTAAATAAACGTTTACCGCGTGCGCGCGCGCGCAAAGGGAGGAGAGAGAAAGATAGAAAGGGAAATATATCCCGATACAAGGAATATTTCTGTTCTTTTTTTTTATTTTTAATACGCGGAAAATGTGAATGTGGAAGCAATGGGAACTCTCGACGAGATAAAGAGAGAATGTGTGTGTGTGTGGGTGTGCATGAGAGCATTTCTTTGTAACTTTTTAACCGGCTGCCTCTCTCTCCCAGGGCCCATTCGTTCGTTGATGTAACGATTTTTCACCGCGACATTCCCGGCTTAGAGCTGTCCCTCGGGAGTTTCACCTGCTCTCGTTTCGTCCGTGGCCGAGTGGTCATAGATTACCTACTGAAGCAGAGTCGCGAGATTATCCCGAATTCCTGACTGTGGCGCGACATGACGTGCCTTATAAAAGGCGCGACATCGGCAATAGATTACTTCAGAACGCGTCTCGCGAATAACAGACAGTCTCTAATTATTAAGTTGACGATGCGACAGTCCAGTATTTCATGCGCGCGCGCGAGAGAAAGGAACGAACAGCGATGCAGAATGCAACAATAAACTTTCATAAATAAAACACGAACAAATAAACAAAGTACTAAAAATAGAAATGAGGATAGATAGATAGACAGATAAGTAGATAAATAGATAGATATTTTTGCTTAGTCAATTCTCTCTTGCGTTTGTATTTATTTGATTGTCAAGTAAATAAGATCGATCGTTTTGCTGCAAGATTCTACTTGCGAACTAGCTTGATGATTCTGATTGAATAAGTTCGGTGCAATTTCTTGCCGCTGTCGTCCTCGCCCTCGTTGTCGTCGTCGTCGCCGTCGTCGCTGTCGTCACTCCGTTTTCCCTACGGTCCGCAACTTTTCGGGACTGCCTGACAGTTCGGGCGCGGATTTCTGCACGAACGAGCTAAATCGACTCGACCGGCGGTCTCGCCGGAATTGCTTCGTACGGAGTACGCCGCCGACCGCTAGTAAAATCAACGACAGGATCGATTTTTCGGCAGGTCGGAGTTTAATTAAATCGCGGAGCGAAACTTGGACGTGGCGACCGCGACGAAGGGATCCGTGGAAGCCATAAAAACTATGAATCGAGCCTCCCCGACCTTTCCTCCCCCCTCCTCTCTCTCTCTCTCTCTCTCTCTCTTTCTCTCTCTTTCTCTTCTTCTTCTCATTGCAAACTCGAGACGCATCACGACAAATTAACTATTGATAATTCTTTCGCACAAGAAAGCTCGCGTGATCCAGTGTTGTTAAGTCATTATTCCCGGTTTAATGGATGCTGATAAAAACCGTATATATATTCATATGGGAAAATATGCGACATTAACCCTTTAAAAACTCGATGTACATCATTAAGTGCATTTACTTTGGGTCCTTGTTAAATTTTTACATTGACAAAGTGATTCCGCCGACCCGTGCCAGATAGAACTATGTTTTTTGTTTCCAGTGAAAGAATGATTTTCCCGCTGAAGAAACCAATATGACGTGCAGAACGGAATCGTCGACGCTCAAGATTGCGTAAAGTTTCTCACGAGAAAAAGTAAGCCAATTTTCTTTTCTCAATTTTTTATCGATGTCATCTTGAAGAATACAAGATTGACGCTTTTCATGTTCGTCTCACCACGGTTACAAGATTTATTAAAGGGATGCCATACTTGAAAACTTTACCGACAAAATATTGACTTCTTTCTGCGAAATTCACGTCGTATTGGTTGCACGGAATTACAAGCGCTTTCGCACTGAAAGTACGTAATGAGTTGAAACACTGCTCAATATGTGCAATGAAAGGAATTATTCGATAAGAAATTAACAAGCTGATATTACTGATCAAAATATCGATGAATTTTTGTATCCGATCAGGAAACATTCCATGAGAAATATCGGTTTATAATTTTTTGTCTAGTTTATTTGATAAAATGCCACTATGATCGAAAGTATTCGATTAAATTTAATCGGATATCCTGACCGGAAAAATTCATCGGTATTTTGATCGGAAATATCCGTTTGTTAATTTTTTTATCGGATAATTTCTCTCAGTGTGACGAAAACGATAAGAAATTTTAAAATTAAGTTTGTGCTGTTAGTTAGCGTGAATATTTATTTGAACAAAAGTTCCGCGTAGTTTGTACATATCGCATGTGTGCTTGTAACGAATAGCTCAAGCAACACTTCTGTATCTTTGCAACTGAATATAGAAGCTCAGAAGTATAAGAAAATTTAAGTATAAGAAAAATATTTCTACATATGCGGGTTTACGTACTGCTGGCATGGTAAAACAAGATAGCACATATTTTTCATAAGATTTATATATACAAAAAATACAAGAAGGATATAGTATGGTCGTGTTGGTGACGAAGAAAACATGTTTACTTTTAACAGGATCACAGGCTGGGTCTTAAGGGATGAAAAATGCAGTTAGAGTTATTGAATTGTCGCATCGTTAAAGTGAAAATCACGACGCTTCAGTGGGGAAGCGCCGAAAGCGCGAGCGTGAACGTTGAAGATGACAAAGCGCCGCGATTTTTAATTGCTCGGCAGCTCCATAAACTACAACCTAACGAGAACAAATTCTAGGTTTTCCATATTTAATTTTTACGCTAGCAGTGGCTGGGGGAGGAGGGAGCAGGGACGAGGAGGGGAACGGAAGGGAGGGTGGGCTAAAGTGGCGATGACACGGCGCGCGAAATAAAAGCGCGAGAACGCGCGGCGGGCCGCGGCGAGCTGCGCGCCGTGTATTTGCGAAAAAAGTTTGTCGCCGTGTATGAACCGGTTATTACGAGCGCGCGATTTTTTCTCTCTCCCGCGCACGCGCATTTACACGAGCGCGCGCTCGTTAAAAAAAATCCGCCGCTTCCTCTTACACCACCGCCTTCTCTCCTCCTCGCGAGAGTTCGGCGAGTTTTGTAACGAGCCGCCGTGAGCAACGCAGAGTCACGTGCATGCCAGTCTCGTTTCCGGACTTTATCAAGCGCGCCCGCGCGATAGTTAATCGTCGCAAATAAACAACGCGAGTCGGCACAAGTCCCACCGACGACGGGCGCTAATGTAAACCTGTAAGAGACGGTCGCGCGTGACGTGTAGCACGCGCGTGGAAACGGCGCGAGGAGAGACTAACGAGCACGTGCGCATTGAGATCAAGTGTCCCGGCAAGTTCAACGTGCCAGCCAGACCTCCTCCTCCGCGTGAAGAGGCGGAAGGAGAGAAAGAATGGAATTCGGCAAAAGCGAGAAAATGGTGGGAAGGCGCATCCAAATATTCTGTACTGTGTTTAGAGATTTCCAGCAGACTATGCTCTTAGTACAATCTTATTTCGGCTATTTCCGGAACATCTGACTAGATGGCCTGAACCACATCATAGCCGACTCTGCTCTCATTACAATCCAATTCCTGTACGCGGTCTAAACTTACGACAGCCGTCTTCTCTCATTAATTTTTCCCCGCTATTCGTGGGCGCTCGTGCAAATGAGACCGTAGCGACGGACACATTGTGGGTTGCGCACTATATCTTTCGGTTACGGTTAGCGGTTAATTCGGCCGACGAAACGCGCGAGGGGAAAAATCGCGGACGGCCTCGCAGGAGGAATAAAGGCGCCTAACTGAGCCAAACGTATCATATGCACCTGCAACACATCCCGGCCGACAGTTTGATGTATGGGACCGCCGCGGGGACGCGGGTGACACTAGCAAAAAGTTCGTCTCTCTCTCTCTCTCTCTCTCTCTCTTTCTCTCTCTCCGTCTCTATCTCTGCCTTTGCCTCCCTCTCCCTTTCTGCTCTCCTCGCGTCGTAATCCCTCTTCGTTCCCCGAGAAATCTCATTACGGAAAAGTTTGAGGGAAGGCTCTGCCGCGCGTCTCCCACGCACACGGTAGTCTACGGTGCGTGGAAATTGCGAGCGCACAAGGAGAGAATCTCTCGACAAAGAGCGGAGGTAGAAAGAGAGAGAGAGAGAGAGAGAGAGAGAGGGAGAGAGGGAGGTGAGGAGGAAAGGAGAGCGAGGGAATAATATTCTTGTAGCCATTGTCGGAGATAACTTTTCGCGATATCCTCAACGGACTGCCGGGGACCGCGTTGAATTTAAACTTGTTGCAACCCTGAGCTGTAACGCGCGCGAAAGTAGCTCTTCTCTCCCCCTTTATGAACTTTAAAATATTTAAATTGATAATAATTAATTTATAAGTATTCTTTCTTTCTGGAAGACGTCGCAGGTTCCCTTGTAAAATAAGAAGCGCGATACGAGACAGTGGCGAATTCAAACCTACCTTGAGTCATGAATGAGACTCTCTCCTTTCCCTATCGTAAAGAAATAATAATACATTAGAAGTGATCATTAGAAATAATAATATTAGAAGAGAGTTGAGAAAGAGAGAATCAAGGTGCTTCGCGATTTTTTCCTAGGGTGACTCACTGTCAACTACAGTGTCAATAAACGTCAATCTCGACGAATCAAATATGAATCACGATACATCGCAGCGAAAGGATTTTTCGGTGTTGCTGTTAAAACGTTACTAAGGAGTTGCGAATAATCGTTGTTGCGCCCGCGCTTGGCATAGCTGGAACGACTCGTGAGACGTTCAGCTCATCAGTATCAGCTGATCGTGTTACCTGGCGCACGAGTAACGAAGAAAATCCAGGCTATAGAATGTCAGAAACGCACCTCCGTTGACGGATCCCCGATCGAATCCAAAATCCTGCGAGACGTGACCTCGTTGTCTTGTTCACCCCCGAAAGTGTGCCGACCTCGGTGTACCGTAGCCTGTTCCAACCTTCTCTCTTTCTCTCTATTTCTCTCCCTCTCTCTATTTCGAAGGCAGGAAGCCAACCGGCGTGCACACACCGTACGTGTAACTAGGGCTGCCGGATATTACATCTCGAATTTCCGCCAGTCTTAATCCGCCTGCCACGCGCTCGAGACATCCTCACGGCCCGCCTCTGTCTCTCAAAGAGGATCGCGAGGCATCCCTCGTAGAATGGGATCTCGCAGAGGGATGTCGAGAGTGACTGGCACGACGAGGAGCGTAGCGATACGAGAGAAACGAGGACTACGCGCGCGGGAGAGGAGGAATCGAGAACTCTATTGTGTTCGATCCACCGGCAGGTCGATCCTTCTGCCTCGCAGGAGAGCAGGAAGCGGAAGACCGTGGGCCCGAAGGGTTTCGCGTGCCGAAGGGATGCCAAGGATGAAGAGGTAGCTGCGCTTGACACTTAACACGGACATGGACGTGGGTCGGTCGCGTTTCAGTCGACGTGCGGACGCGGACTAAAGCTCTCGCGCGGACGGGCGCTCGTCGTCACGTCGCGTCGCGTCGCGCGACGACGAAGCGGTAGCGCGCTTCCTTCCCTCGTCGTCTCGCCCGTACGGCGCAGGGCTGACTGAGGCCACGGCGCCGAGCGCCGCCGTAACAACCCTCGGTGGCGTGAGCCTGCGTTCAGCCGTGTTGCCCGAGTGGCGCCGATCTCGCGCTCCAACCCCGCCGCCGTAGGATTTTTGCCCGTCGAGGTAATCGCTTGGTCGGGGACAGAGTCGCGGGATTCTGCGGGTTCGTCGAAGAAACTATCGTTGACGTTGGGGTCGTGACTTGGGGGCTGCCCCTAATAGTCGACGGGAAATAGAGAGAGCTTGTAATGTCTGAATGGCCATGTACCAAGTCATATAACAGAACGTTTCAGTTCTTTTATTATCTTACTTTTTCACACGTCGCTTTTTAACGTGATAGACTTGATTATACGGAGTAATAGGTTATTTAACGTTACACAGTGTGTGTATGAGAGAAGAAATATCTAAAAAATAGAGAACATTTATTCAGTGGATACCAATAACATATTTACTTAAATCTACATTCTTTTATTTAAATAAGATAAGCAATTACTTTCATAAAAAGTTAAGGTTTTAAGAAAATGTACATCTTCTTACTTGAGAAATATTTTATATCAGTAAAGTGAATATGTTATTAGTATCCATCGAATAAATAGTTTTTATTTCTTTTAGATATTTCTTCTTTCTGTGTAAATTCTAAGATATCTGTTGTTTTTTTTATATTAGGAGAAATACGTAAAGAAGAAATTGTGTAACTACAAGAGTTGGACAACATTTATCCAACCACACAATTTATTCCTTGCACATTTTCTTCCTATATAAAAAACAACAGAGATATTTTAGAATCTAACATTAGATGACTCACTCTGTACGTGTAGTAACTATAAAACATTTTGGAGGGCGAGACCTTGACACTCCACAAGAAAGAGGGAGGAATATATTGGAATTTGTAATGTCCGTACAGCATACGAGAAAAGAGTGATGCGATTGTATATTTCAGTTCTTTTACTTTCTCACTTTTGGCACAGCTTTCTTTACTGATTGACTTCATTCCATGTGAAGTAAGTGTAAAATATTTTGAGAGGTGTTGCTGATAATCTCCACAAAGAAGAGAGAAGGACATACGGGAGTTTGTACGTATTGCCATACAAAATAATACAATTATTTATTTATTTGTCCACGTTTAGTACAGGCTTTTCACTAATTGACTTGATTATGCACCAAGCAATTATGAAACATTTTGATCTAAAATTCACTCATCTAGCGCCTGTAGTAACATCAACATCGTTATAACCGGCGTATCGTGGCTCGCAACGGGAATCACAATTCGCGAGATCCTCCGGGATCCACGATGCGGCGGCAATTGTCGTGGCACCACCGGCCGCAATTCGCGTGACTTGAAAGGTATATTAATAAGCAGTACACAAGACAGGAAACGGCATCTCTCCTTTCTCCCTTTCCTTTCTACCCTTTGTGCTCCTATCTTGTGGGCGCTTTTTCTTCGTTTCACTCTCGAATATAAAGTGTGTGTGTGTGTGTGTATGTGTGTGTGTGGGGTGTGCGAATGTGTATGTGTGGCTCGGTACATCTCCGACCTAGAATATCACCATTCCTCCCGCTTCCTCAATTCTCTCCCGGCTCCTCTTATTTTCTAGAAAACGAGCGCGAGTTGGGCACTCCACGTCTGCAAGCACCGTCTACGAGTCGCTTCTTTGATATCTATCTGTCGTTCGTTCGTCTCTTTTACCTTTCTTGTCCCGGTCGCGCCACTCACCGTAGCCGTCGTCGCGGTGGTCGTCGCGTTTCCGCCCGGTATATTTTGCTCCTGGGTGCTCGACGTTAAAACCGACGTCTAACTTGGAGTCGCGGAAGACGCCAGAAAACACGTCCGACCACTAGCGTCCATTTCTACGTCCGTCACGATCTCGTAACCCGTTTGCTCCCATTTGAACCATCCGAACGTGCTTCACGACGAGACATCGTTCCCGTGCCGAGTGTGGCACGAGAATTTTAAGGAACGAAATTAAAAAGAGACCGCGAGAAATTTCTCGGCAATGGCCGATTATTTCCGCCTGTTGTTCCGGGTCGCGAGTTTCAATAGCGAGTGGAGGAAGAAAAGCGTGGATGAGACACGCAAAAGAGACGACAGGATGCAGAATGCCGATTCTGCTTTATTTAGTACGACCAGTCACACAATTATTGGCGTCCCTTTTAGTCATTGACATTTCCGAAGAGCATTTCTGATTTTTTGTGACCAACGCTATTCGTTCACAGTTTTAGTCGCAAAGATCTCTTTAGGAATCATAGTATGTAGTATTATAGTATACAGACAAGAAGTTTAATTGTAATTCTGCTTGTATAAAACACCAGGTCTTTTAGAGCGCAACGATTATAAGGGAGATGCTAATAATTGTGTGGTTTGTCTTAGCTACGACTCATATTTGAGGTCGCATCGATGAGTCGCGGGAAAATCTTGACTAACTATGATTATCATCCGAGACGTGAACACGTTTCCCACCCGATCGATCGTCTCCCGCTGGACACGCGCATCTATTATGCACAGAAACGCAAAACGTGAGCTGTGTGAGAATGAGATTACGAATGAGGCATGAAAATGAACCGTGCGGAGAGAGGCAGAGAGAGAGAGAGAGAGAGAGAGAAAGAGAGTCGTCTACGGACTCTAACCGGAAGAATGAATATTTCAAGGGACGAGTATCTGCCGCAGAGCAAGAGTATCTCATTTTTCCGTGCGGCCGCGAGCTACGCGAACTGGGACGATCGGGCTATTTGTTTTAAGAATTGATCGCGCCGCCGGCTATCGACATCCTCGAGTAGGACTCGGCGACAAGTGTGGACTCCGTGATGGAATACATAACCATCGTTTTCTCTTTTTTCCTGCCCTTTTTTCGAAACTCGTGCGACTTTCTGAGTGCCGGCGCCCCGAAACAGGTCTCACGAATCCCTCGGCCTCGCGGGGGTTGAAACAACGTTTGTATCTCGGAGACGCGGCCGAAAGTCTCACGCGCGTATCCTTCGTAGTCTCTCCACGTGGCCTTCGGAAGCCCGTGAGGCGGATTAGGGTGAACTTGGAAAAGATCGAAGGGACGATAATGTCGGAAGAGGCCACGGCGGAGGGGAGGGAGGGAGAGAGAGGGAGAAAGGACGGAAGCTTGACCGGATACAGAGCCCCGTAGAGAGGAGAGAAGATCGTCCTACACGCACACACGCGCGTCACGTACACAGGCTGACTCGTGCTCGCCTTCCTCCGTACTCTTTGTCCGCTTTTATTCTCATCCCCCGTGATACGGAGTGGATTAGAGTGTCCGGAGCAAGTGCTCGAATTGCATTTCCAGCAATATCGCGAGATCCCTATCGCGGCTGCTCAAAGTTACCGTCGATCTGCGGCGCCACGGTCAAACGTACCAAACGGGATACACGTATATATATATTTTATATATATGTACACACACTCACACACACACATATACACGTGTGGGTCGTTAGAATGACATCTCGGTGACACAATCTGTTGTCCTGCTCGGTCGACGGGCCAACATATCGATCTTGATGATACGCTTTTTTCCATGCTGACACAATCGGCTTCCATCGAAATACGTCGAATTACTTTCTCCCGTATGGAATTTTATTTTATCGCGCCGCTACACCTCGCGGAATTCCGGTTGCGTTTTTGAAAAATATCGGGTAAAGTAATTCCCAACGCGCGCGGGCCCGCATACACGGAGACACACGCATGCGGCATGTAACGCACTCGCGCGATTTATTTCCGTCGCAGTTTGCATTCGCGCGAGAACTGAAGGTCGTATCGCGCGAAGTCCTTAATTTCTCGGCCGCACACGCTCGCGAGCTCCTTCGGCGGCCGTTAATCAATGACCGATATAAATAAATCAGCGCTCATTAAATTCAATCGACGTAATCAACAGTGTTGATCAATTAACATTAATATGGCTTTACGTGTAACGCCGCTCGCGGAGAAATACAGCCAGTGCGCAGAAGCAAATAGAACACGATGTAATATTGATCGTTAGTTATCGGTGTAAACGTTATTTACAATGGCCATTACGCGACGGCGAAAGAGTGACACATTGAGGTGCATTGGGCTGGATTACTAATGACTAATAATTTCCATTAATTATGCCAAGTTAATAACACAGTATAAAAAGGAAGCACTCTCCCGTATTCTCGCCGCGACTCGTCAATAATTAATCCTGTCGATTATGGTATGCGCCGATTGCGATTATTGTAGCAGAAACGAACGATAACTCGCGACAATTATTGCAGGCGCGAACAATGGCACGCGTAAAGATTCATAGAACGAACGAGACGCGCGTAATTTGCGCGTTCGACGGGAGGCTTGATAGAGGCTGACGTGCGAAAAGAAAATCAGCGGGAAGAAACAGGGAGAGAAAGAGGTTGGAAGTATGAACGGAAGGATAAAGTTAACATAATGAAGCGCAAACATTATGCGCGCACGCACGCACACACACACATATACACATCCGCAGCATCGTTGTCTATTATTTTCAGCGCGTCTGCCTACTTTTAGAAAAGAACACGGTGATGGTAACTACATGAGTTTTTTATGTAGAAAGATAATGTATATGGTTTAATAAACTATCTTTTGTAATAAAATTTTGGTTGCAATGTAACTACGAGACAATTTATTACGAAACTGCATACATTTTGATTCTACATGAAGAGAATATTATAGTTTTTTCTTTTTCATATAAAAATTCTTTTAAATTTTACTATGTTTTTAGTAGTTTAAGAATAGACTATCAATGAAATTTATCTTATAAAGAACATAATACACTTCGTTAGAAACAGAAAATTTAATTAAAAATATAGCAAGTGTTTTAAATATACTATAATTAAATACATTTCAGTTTCTAAAATATAAGTAGATGTGTGAAATGGGAGAATAAAGAACGAATTACTGTAGAATGTCGATCTATTACAAAATTCTATAGTGTAATTCCTATCATAAAATTATCTCCGTATCTCATATATCGAACTCAT